TGCGAATAGCTGTCTTAGCAGTATAAAATTTATTTTATTTTGTGTTTCACTCAGACGACTATAGCATCTGGATTCGGAATAGCCTTACTATCTTGAGACGGGTCAGCCATACGAGTCAGCCATACCTGAAACATGTTGTTCCGGCATTGTGACTAAAACTTGCGTCTATTCCCCTAGAAACGACGTGAGTAACTAAAAGTAATACAAATTAAATTAGGAAGAAAAATTCACTCTTACAAGCCGCCCACGTAAATACTGGACACACTGACTTCGCTCGGGTGTGACAGACAGCATCGAACAAATAATTCGGTGATGTCAGAAGCCATTCCAACCCAGTAGAAACGCAGACGAGCTTGAGACAGGGTTTCTCCACACCAGGATGGTTTAGCAGTAGGAAGAGAATGGGGATTGTTCGCGGGCGTGGATGGCACCCACCTCAATCGCCTTTCGGACGGCTGCATCCAACGACGCAGGTCGTGGAGAGGCAAGTGCAAGACGCAGGTCTTTCGTTGCCTGGCCGTTGATGAACAACTGGAGCAGCATTGAGTCCAGGAGCGGCCCACTCTATCCGGGATAAGCCTTGCGTGCCAGACGTCGCAGCTCCTGCGCGAACGCATACTGGCCTGGGTTTCAGTGGCCAACTTCATTCTCTGTCGGAGCGTCGCCTCGTGCATAAGGGCCAGTTGCGGAGGTTCCAGTCTCGCGCGCAGCGCTTCGACTGCCTCGCGATATGTGATGTTGGGCGAGTTGGTGACGATGTCCGTCAACATCTCGTGTGGTACGCCAACCAGACAACAGGCAACAGGCGCAAACATTGTTCATGGGTGTAGCCTAACAGGGCACAAGCGTTATCAAAGTGGCTCATATAATTATTTACAAAATCTTGTCCAGGTTGACTGCCAAACGTTTCTGGGAGCAAGATCGGTTTGGGCAAGGATGTGGTGGGCGGCTTGAGCATGTGAGAACTTACTTGAACTTGCTCGTCCTGCTGAGACTGGCGACTGTGGTGGTGAGGGTAGTCGTTCGTCGCGTGGTGTGCTGCTTGCTGCTGCATATCTGTTGATATCATAAAAACTCATCTCTTCTCTCTTTCGTGCCTTCCGAGTCTTTTTCCAAAAACCCAAATAAATTCGAAGCATTTGTGCTATAGACTATACTAGACTAGTGTATAGTATAGGAACTCAAGCTGAAGGTGCCCGGTAGAGAGACGTGCCCGTATCTGAGGCGTCCGGATAAGAGGCGTTTGCTTTGAGTGTACAGGTAGTGCATGCACGTACAGAAAACAAACAAAATGTAGACAGTACAGGCAGGCGCCGCGCGATGTTGCAAAGACAGGCAAACACTGAAGCAATCGACAAGCACTGAAGCAATCAACAAGCAGGCACTCTAATCATCATGCACATAAAAGAGCGAGCAGCAAGAGACGACAGGAACATCATTTAAGTTACTAGTAGTTTGACAGGCAAATCTACGACATCTCGGAGGTAGAAACTTGGGTGGTCCAGAGTGTCAACGACTCAAGGCTTCATCGGAGACGATCCACACACGCGGCTCAGGAGACGAGATCGAGAGCGTTTACCGCTGACACCAATGTAGGATTCCCTTTCCTAATAGTAATACAAGACTATTCCCTGGTTTCATCAGACACTGACTCACACTGTTCATATCGATAGTATAACTAATGTTACTTGTCATGAAGGAGAAGAGAGAGAAAAGCTTTAAAGGCAAGCAACACGTGAGCATGCGCACGGCTTACAAGGCCAGAGATTCGTCACGTGGACAGGAGCAGGAAATACGAAATACAAATGTAAGAAATAATACGTAATCATTGGCCTATAGGCTATACTACAAGTACTCATTTTCAAACGCGTTTTGTCAGTTTTCAGTTGGACTGCACTTGGTCCCTTTTCTCATCACAGGGCTAATTTATTTATTATCAACAAAGAGGTTCCCTTTCGCCAGCAGCGGAGAGGGCTGAACACAATAATGTGGAGCACTCTTACCGTAAAGTACCGCCAGAGCGCCCCACCTTGATTTTACAGCCAAGGGAAGAAAATCGTATGGCAGAATGCTACTTCAAAGTACTACAGTCCATTTCCAAACTATAGACGCGTACCTAGGCAAAAACCGTTATGCCAGCATCTATGCCACATAAAATCTGTGATCACTTTGTGCATAATTTTTTCCAAATCGGGCGTCTGTTATCCAATCGTTTAGAAACTATAATGAGAGTAATTGTGGAGCGGTCCTGAGCAATATTCCGAAAACTATTGTCAAAAAGTTCCAGCCAAATTTGAAATATTTCAAAAACCCTACGCGTCTATAGTTTTGAAATGGACTGTAAGTTTGTACGGTGTGAGAACCTTTTTGTACTAAGGTCACACTCGGCATGTTTTTATGTGGAGCTCGCATCAGCTCGAAGGTAAACTGGGTACGGATTGACTCCACAACATGCAATGTGTGTACAAGGTCCGTGTCGTATGACCTACAGACAGGAAACCACCTCCGCAAGACGACCACGAAAGGACGAGGTGGTGGGGCGCTCCGGCGGTACTTTACGGTACACGCAAAAGGCACAAAGGGAGTTTGTAGAGTTTGTCGCAACCCCGAGTACGGCGCCACCGTGACATCGCCTGATGAGTGCATTGAGCAAGAAACTCGTAGTTGTGACTAACTCTACTAACCGTCTTTTGTGCCTTTTGGGTGCACATGATATACAGTACAGTATAAGCAGAAATAGTCGTCTGGAAATTAGTTTCATCTTTTTTTGTCCAAGGAGCTTTTGGAATAAATTAATGTCGATTTTTTTAAAAGTTTTGTGAGCTGCCTTTGGAGTGAAAAAATTGTCTCAGCGCCTTCTAGGTTCAGCCCGGTCCCATAGCTCAGTGGTTAGAGCATTGCTCATGACAAGCAAGGTCCCGGGTTCGAGTCCTGGTGGGTCTGGCGATATTTTCTCTTTTCAGGCAGTTCACTTCCCCAACTGATCCTTTGTATTAAATGTCGATTTGTCCAGCTTTTCTTTACACTCTTATGATACATGGATGAGATTTTCATTTTTCAACCGAAAATTTTTTCGTATAATTTTCATATTCGCTTTCATGTTATTGGGTTCTATGCCCGTTTGAATTTGCGAATCAAAATAAATACAAACAAACAAACAAAACCGAACGAACTCCCTTTCTTTGGAGTTGGACGAAATTATTGACCGACGACATTTTCTGCCTGTACAGTATATATCTTTACTTATAAAAGAGAGGCACCTGTGACGTGTGTCTGTGTGTGTGTGTGTGTGTCACGCTCCTTATAAATAAGAGGCACCTGTGACGTGTGTTTTTGTGTCACGCTGAAGCGCTGCGGAGCAGCGCTGCCCTGAGCACGCGAAGCGTGCGAACAGTGTAGCACAGTGTAGCTAGCTAGCGGCCGCAGAAGCACTGAGCACGCGAAGCGTGCGAATGTGTGCTAGCGGAAGCAGCCACAGAAGCACTGAGCACGCGAAGCGTGCGAATCGTGTAGCCACCACCACCACGTGCTGAGCACGCGAAGCGTGCGAACAGTGTACGTGGTAGCAGCCACGATCAGTACGAGTAGCAGTAGCAGCCGCGCGCAGAAGCACTGAGCACGCGAAGCGTGCGAATCATGTAGCCACCTAGCCTAGGCCATAGGTAGCACAGCAGCCGCACAAGCGCTGCGGACCACGTGAACCGTTCTCTGCAAATAGAAACATCTGCAACAAAAGGATACAAAAGATCTGCACTGACTGCACTCTGCATCTGATCTGCAGTGAAGAGCGCATCGCACTTTTGTTCGTAAGTTTATGAATTTTTTGAGCCGCTTCATCCTCCACCAGGTGATGGACAACCCTGACCAGCCTCCCGAAGGCGTAACAGACGTCCCTCCTTCTCCTTCCAACCATGAAGAACCTCCCTCATGCTCACCAGGACTTCAGCGGTCTGGCCACCACCACGTGCTGAGCAAGTGTGCTGTTCATGTACTTGCTTCACCCGCATGCCACATTCAGCCAGGCAACGCTGGCGGGGGTGCTGCTAGTGCCTGTACAGTATATATACAGTATAATGATGTTTTTTTAGTTTTTTTTTAGACAAAAAATCACACACCATTTGACGGCACAAAGCAGCAAGGCAGCAATGAGACATATGGAATAGCAGGAGTGGAGGAGAGGCAGGGGCAGCTTGACCGACCATAGGGTCTCGGCTTCATTGCAACCCGAGCGCTCCACTGTGTGACTCGTACTAGGCATTACATTCTTTATGAATACATGAACCGTAAAGTACCGCCAGAGCACCCCCCGTCTCTCCCATGCGCCCCTCCCTGATTTCTTGTCAGGAAAGTGATAAGGATTGTATCGTCGTATAGCTCTGTGAAATATGATGCCGCACTGCACTGCAGACGCTTGCTCGACCCGGTTGGAAATGTACACAACAGTTCATACCCTCTTGATCAGAGATCGCACAAACCCTGGATTTTCACGGGTTTGTACGCCTCCCTGCTCTTGACCTTTGGTCGGTGTATCAGACGAACACACAATTTTTGTAGGGTGAGTACTTGTTCATAATTATAGTACTGAATGCGGCAAGTAGGACTCGCCCATCCGCCCCTCCCCACCTGGATCTCCTAGAAGTTGTCGCGGAGGTAGGGGTGCTCTGGCGGGATTTTACGGCACTAGTATTAACATGGTATTATATTTCATGCTGTCAATCTAACAATTGCGTAGTATTAACATGTTTATTGGTTGACAGTATGTTACAAGGCGGAGGATGCACTGTGCTTGAAAACAGTGCTCCTGACTACAACCATCATCGGTTGGCACTGTTTTTAACACGGTGCGGCGTCCTCCGCCTTGTAACATCCAGTCTACTGATCAACATGTAAATCTATCAAACAAGGCTTGCATATGTACGACTGAGGTCAGATGAGCAAGGTCTGGCTGTAGTCCAGCTGAGAGCCTGCTGGTTTTGCCTGCGTTGTTGTTCTGTTTTCAGACTACACTCCCGTCAGAGCGACACGCAGTGGCTGCCAGCACGCGTGCCGACCAGCAACGTGGTGCGGACAACGGCAGCCGTAGCCGGGTTGCAAGTGCTGCTGCTCCCGCTGGCAACCCGGCCGCCCTCTGCTCCCTGTCGGAACCCGTGTTGGCGTCACGCGCCTCGGCCCGCATGGACCTGCAGTGGTGCCCCGGTTCCAGGGATGTGTTTGCCTACGTCCTGGATGACGATATCTGGGTGTCGTCAACCGCTGGCGGGGTGGAAACACGTCTAACCTACTGCAATAATGGTAAGCGTTTTTGGAATTGACGCCTTTGAGATGATTGAGCAGTGCACTGTAAGGCCAGTAATGTTACCGAACATTTAATTCTAACGATTAAACGAATTTAAACAATTCGTTAAGATTTGAAGTAAGATTTGAAGTCATTACGTGCAAAACTATAATGTATGTTTACAGTTATTTGCCGGTTTTCAGACAGAATTTGTTAGCATTTCACCTCGCTATTAAACCTACAAAAATCCGGAGATCGTTAACTTTAATTGACTTTAAAACACCTGGTCTTACAGTAATACGTGTAGTTCGCCATGAAGTACTTTTTACCGAAGTACTGTTTTCTCTGTTCTGAGTGGGGAGCCTGATGAACGTGCTATCTTGTATGTGTGTCCGTGCGTGTGTGCGTGCGTCCGTGCATTCGTGTGTTTTAAACAGAAGTTCAGCATTTGGTTTTTGGTGTTTTGAATTTGTTTTTGCCGCCGTTGTTCCCATCAGGCGAGACAGACGTGGCTCGGAACTTCACCAAGGCTGGAATGCCTCCTTATGTTATGCAGGTATGGGTGGGTGTGTGTGTGGCTGGGTGTGTGTGCGCGTGTGTGTGTGGAGGGGGGGGGGGGGGGGGATGCAGCATCATGCACAACAAAACGATGTGCTTCGCTCGTCTCAAGAAGACATGCGGCAACTGGCGGTGCAAAGTTTCAAAGCACAATTTATCGATTGTATCGTTCATTGCATGACAGCAGTGTAACTGTACACAGTGCTACAACCCACACAACCCCGACGTACTAGCCCCAGTCTCCCTGATGATTGATTTTCAGCATGAAACTCGTCAGTAGAGACATTTAAATCCCTTTTTGTTCCACCTGATTTTCGTTTGTTCTTCAATTTTGTCTGTTCTATTTTTGGCTGAATCACGAAATCTGCTGGTTTTATTCAGCCTGCTAATCTGACGGGTTTGTGTGTTTGTTTTTCCGCTGGTCCCAATTTGCAGGAGGAATTTGAGTGCTTTTATGGGTTCTGGTGGCAGCCACAAGGTATGTGGAATCACGTGTGCCTGTGTGTATGTGTGTGGGTGGGTGTTAGGGTGGGAGGGTGTACTCCACTGCGTATACCGTAAAGTCTTGTATAAAAGCCGCGGCTTCTATGACTTTCTTGGTGAAATTTTGCAGGCTTCTATACAAGACAGGTATTTCTATGTATGTCAACACTAAAACCAGGCTTATGTGTGATTTGATGGGCCCAAAATTGCGGCTTCTATTCAAGTGCGGCTTTTATACAAGACTTTACGGTACATGTGTTTTCAAGTCTCAAAAGAAATCAAGAGAAAGAGAGAGAGAGAGAGAGAGAGAGAGAGAGAGAGAGAGAGAGAGAGAGAGAGAGAGAGAGAGAGGAGAGAGAGAGAGAGAGCGAGAGAGAGAGAGAGAGAGAGAGAGAGAGAGAGAGAGAGAGAGAGAGAGAGAGAGAGAGAGAGAGAGAGAGAGCACATACACACGCTCGCTGGCACGGAGATCACAACTACATGGCAGGGGAGAACAGATGATGACGACAGCGACCAGCGTAGGAATTACGGGCATTAATAATTAAGAGGGACATGGGAACCTTTTCAGTGCCTGAGCAAGCCATTTCCTGGCCATCGCACGCGTGCCAGAAGAGCTGAATTTCAGTGGATGGATAAACGTCACGTTTCACTGGCTCCACATCTCCTGCGTAGCTTTCGGTGTACGCGAATCTAACAAATAGCCAGTGGCCGGCCATGGCGATAAGTCAGTATCCACGTTCTCCGCGATCACATTCAGCAGGGTGGGCAAGGCAAGCTCCTCAAACAGGTTGCGGAATGCATGCGCCATGGTCAGGAAGGGAGCCGTAAGATGTCTGGGTACGTAGCCAACGTCCGACACGGATTTCTCCAGGATTGCAGGCCACCTCGGTTGCAAGCACTGCATGCGGCTGACCAACTCCTGCGGTATGCATGCCTCCGGGAAACGATGGGCGCCGAACGCCGAATGATTCATCCAGTTGAGATGGTGGTGCGAGCTGTTGAAGGCATCTACCACGCGCCACAGCTTACTCATCCAGACGCGCTGCGGCTGCAGCAGCACAGTGCGTGCCAGCGTTGGGTAGTTGAGGAACACGTCATCGCCAATCCACAGGTAGCTGCCGTGGTCCGAATGGTCGAGCGTGGCCTGGGCGATGGCACGGTGCAGCAGGAGTCCCTTCTGTAGATCTACGCCAGTGACATTCCAGTGAGCACTGGCTTTGGGCCCATAGAACACAACGCCGGCAAAGATGCCCTGGTACAGCTCCAGCAGAAACTAAGTATTTGCGTAGTACGCATGATTGAAAAGTACGATCAGCAGTGTCCGGTGCGCACCAAAGCGTCGGCCACGTTCCGCATTCGCTGGCCTGTGAATCGGTTTGTACGGCCTAACTTTATTGCTGTCCGTGCTGGTGGTGGTTGGGTAAACAACGCCTGTGAAGTTGTCCACGTCCTTGCAACACTCGTCCAGATGTGCCTGCGTCAGTTCACTATTTACAGTAGAGCCATCTTCACCCGGCGTTGGCGATACAGACTTTTTGTTTGCCTGCTGCTGCTGCTGTTGCTGCTGCTCATAACGCTGCCATGCCAAGCAGCCAGGGAAGTCAACCAGTGCTCCGGCATTACGCTGAATGGCGGCTATTGCCATGCGCCTGTACTCACCGCTGCCGCCGCCGGGTATTCTGGCAAAGACAACTTGATGCCGAGCGCACCAGCCTATAGCTGTTTTCATCTGGTTCTCTCTCCTGTACCAAAGCTCTGCGCCTTGCAGCTGCTGTTCGGAACGTCCATACCAAGGCCGTTGTTCATTGGGAGCTTGTTCCGGCAGCGCTTTGTTTGATGACGCCGTCGGAAAAGGTAGGAATCCAGATTACCTAAATCTAGTCCTTTGGAGCTTTGGAGCAGTTGCTAACTGCTTCCATGTCTGGTTGACGACGGGGTATAGCGTAAGACAATCCAATGGCCAGTTTGTGCGTGTATGCGCCTGTTTGCATGTGCCCGTGTTTGTCTAGATGAGAAGGGACTTTCCCGCACGGAGAATGGCACTGACCCGCGCTATCGCATTCTCTATGAGCAGGTAAGGCTACATGTACATGCCATGCTGCTCAATGAAATCCAGTCACGTCACTCAAGTTCGCACCTTGCATCATTTCGCATCCCAGTGTTCGCAGGTCTATGGCTGCGCAACACCTGACGCGTACTTGAGTGACGCGATTGGATTTCGTTTAGCAGGTATAGCTATATGTACATGTTTCAAATCTTTATTCTCTGCTCCAAATTTGTTTGCCCGAGCATCAGCATGCACACCCAGCTCTATCACACACAGCAGCCATTTGAACATGCGGTGAATGCAGACCTACTGCACGTTGGTGAATGCAGACCTACTGCACGTTGGTGAATGCAGACCTACTGCACAAGACTTCTTGACATAGCTAGATAATGGCGCTATGCGCCTTGGAAGAAAGCCAGCGCTGTAGCCCGAACTTATTGTCAGCAATACATAAGATTAAGGCAGAAAACTAAGGCATCGGCAGCTTCAGCATTTGCTAGGCTTCAGGAACCATGCTTTACTACTTCGTTTTTGAAGTACAAAAAACTCGCCAAGCGAATAGACCAGAGCATCATGAGTCACCCGACTACAGTCTGCAGCACACACTACAGCGGATAACGGCAGCGCACACTTAGAAGACAGTTGACCAGGGTGGGTGGGTGGGCAGCTGCACACTTGGCAAGAAGAAAAACAATGATCTGCAGAATCACAGCAACAGCACTTTCAACCACAGCACACTGCCCTCGTACCCGTTCCGCACGCACGTGCAAAAAATATTAACAGAGAACTAGATTTCTCGTTTCTTTCGCTTCGCTCAGCCAACGAGGAATAAACATTTCTCTGCTCCAAATTTGTTTGCCCGAGCATCAGCATGCACACCCAGCTCTATCACACACAGCAGCCATTTGAACATGCGGTGAATGCAGACCTACTGCACAAGACGCACAAAGCATAGCCGGGTTTACAGTCCATTCAGAAAAAGATGGACTTCTAGCTTTTGGCCATAAATGGGTCAAACTTTGAGTTTTTTTAGAATTTTTTTCTGCAATCCCTATGGAATCCTCTTCCAATTATGTTTCTGAAGTCTATTTGTCCAAAAAGCAAGCCATAACAAGAATAGGATATTGGCCAGGTTTTGCCCCAGAAGCATTGAATTGGAAAAAACCATCAAAATCCAGGCCGTTTGACCCTGCCTGCAACAGTGCATTGTGGGGTTCGAACCCCAGTTCAGGTACCCTTTTTGGACTCTTTTTCAAAGTTCAAATTTCGCAGCACTGCACTGTGTACAATGAAATCACGAAAAATCGCCAAATACGGGAGCTCGCCAGAGCCAGAGCCCATCTTTTTCTGAATGGACTGTAGTACCCTATCCATGATAGGAGCAGGAGACTCGGTTGAGGTCGCCGAATACTTTGGCTAGTCACGATGTGCGCTGTCCCCGTCTACCCCTCGGTGGCAGTTCGCGTCTCAACGGGCAGATCACTATCCCTCACCAGCAGCCACAGCAGCATCAACAACATGGCACCTGGTGCCCGGCACTTCGGATCCAGGATCCCAGCAGCTCAGCGTAGCACCCGGTGCTACCTGCAGATATAACATACAGCACACAAAGACACGCAGCACTTCCGCAGTACTTGTATAAACTTTGGATGGTTGTATTGTATTGTATTCACAATTTATGAAATCGGACGCACAATATGACATCGGTCTAGAACTAGCCACACTGAATTATTATATCAATCAGAGTACAGTCAGTATCGCCTATAGCGTTGGTGTTTGATTTTGAGCATTTTATCACTATAAGCGATATATTACTATGACCGATACTGCATGGAATGTATGCGAGTGGGGTGTCAAACGACTCAGCGCGCCGTGCACATACGCACTACATACATATACAATGTCATGTTGCTGGCTGTAGCTCCTGACACACAAAATCAGCATTTCCTCATGATGGAGGCATATTTTGGCAACTTGTACGTGCTGAACTCACCAAACAACACTCACTGCACAAGTTCTTCACGAAGAAGTAACACCCTGTTCTCCTCTGCCATCACTTGATTTTACATCAATCACTATAACCGATGCAAAAATAATGTAATAAAGGTCTTTTGAAATATGAATTTGATCACTATAGGCGATAAATTACTATAGACGATTATTACTATACGCGATAACTGTGTATACTTAGTTATGGCAAATGAAAATGAATTTGAGAAATTGATCACTATATCCGGTATATTACTATAGCCGCCAACCTTATAGGCGATACGGACTGTATAAATTATACAACATAGCTATGATGTCAAATATTGCTGCACTCCTCCGCGACGTGTTCGTATCCTTCTTACATTGGCCGCCGATTTTGCTGGCCAGCGGCCGTCGGCTGCTGCGTGCACACTCTGACGAAATGCCCTGGCTGCCCACATCTGTGGCACACCGGAGGGGGCCGAAAGTTACCTGGCATATGCTGAATGGGACCTGGATGTGGACGAGGTGGGATCCCCATCCCCTGCCCTGCCTGAACATTAGCATCGACCGAACCTAGGCTACGTACACCTCCCGCCGCTTTCTTTTTCACCCCTTCTGCTTGCATTGCGGCCTGCAGCCGCTTCTGCTTTTTGGAGCCTGTCACCAGGTCCATGAGCAGGTTGCCTCCTTGGAGTGCAGTCGCCACCTGGTGGCCATGGTTTTAAGCGACAACAAGCCACTCCTGCCTCTCTCTAAGTACACGCTCACCTTTTTTCGCTGCTCTTCTCCTTTTTCTCTTTGACTTCGACTTCATTGAGGCAATGCTGTCCAACAATTCCTCGTTCAATGCAAACTGTTTTGCATAGCTGGTCGTCTTCCAGTTCAGCTCCGTGGGTGCTCCGGACTTCCTTTTTTGCCTCGGCGAGCGGGATCTTGATCTCGACTCTGAGGAGGACGAGGACGAGGACGACGATGATCTTTCATCAGGGGAATTTCCCCCTCGTCTTCTTTTCAGCGACCTGCCTCGTTCTGCCAACCTTTCCATGCCTCTTTCCAGCATTCGGATCTTCATGCCCAAGAGCTCTTGCCCGCTCTCGAACTCCGTGGCTGCCTTGGACGCAGCAGCACCAGCCTGTTGTGGAGCTGCAGTTGGGGGTGCCGAGGGCTGGTGTTCCACTGCCGTTTCGTACTCGGACGACGACGACGTGGTTCCGACCCTATCGGAGTCGGGAAACTCAAATACGGCTGAGGCACGAGCGCCTCCTCTCTTACCTCTACCACGACCAGAGTTCACAGCTTTTCCCTTCCGACCACACATTCCTCTATTTACCAGCACGAGTTGCATAGAAGATCTACCAGCGTCAGTTCTTCTACGCAACTCGTGCTGGTAAATTGAGGAATGTACACAATTTTGTACTTTGTTCTCAGCATGGTGAATGTGTGATTGGGAGGCTCAACCTTGTGTTGCTGCTGCTGCTGCTGCTGCGGCTGCTTCTGTGTGTGCGTGCGTGCGTGTGTCAGTTCTTCTACGCAACTGATGCTGGTAAATTGAGGAATGTACACAATGTTGTACTTTGTTCTCAGCATGGTGAACGTGTGATTGGGAGGCTCAACCTTATGTTTCTTGCTTCTGCTGCTGCGGCTGCGGCTGCTGATGTGTGTGCGTGCGTGTGCATGCGTGTGTGTGCGTGGTGCGCCTGTGTGGTGCGTGTGTATGCAGGTGGATGAACACCAGGTAGACATCGTGACGATATGCGGTGACCCCGAGCCAGAACGGCTGCGCTACCCCAGAGCAGGTGAGTGTGTGTTTGTGTGTGAGACGTGCAGCCATGCATAACCACAGATCTACCGTATTTTCCAGAGTATAAGGCGCATTTTAAATACCAGTAATCCACCCCCCAAAAAGTCGGTGCTGCTTATACTACGATGGTTAAATTAACGGTGATAAACAGGGTAGATGTGTGTATGTTATGACGAAAAAGTCTAGTAGGTGCGGCGTATACTCCGGAAAATATGTATATACAGTCGTCCCTCTTTAATCCAGCAGTCAGCACTTTATAAACCAGCACCCTCGATAAACCAGCACAATTTTCAGTAGCCAAAATGTCCTTTTCATGCATATTGCAGGAGTAAATCCGATTTGTTAATCCAGCACCCACCTTAATCCAGCAGATTTTCCGTGGCACAAATGGTGCCGGATTATAGAGGGACCACTGTAATACAACCCAACAGTATGCTTGTACGTGAAAATATAAACCGATATACAAACCGAGGCGCAGCCGATGCTTGCTTATGGTTTATATTTCACGTACTTGGTCCGTTTCATCGCAATTGTCGCTTATCTCCCACGCACCTTTTGACAGGTAAAACCCAGTCAGATCTCGATATCTAACTCACATCCGTTTGGGAGGTTGTGATGGCAAGATAAAAGGAGACCAGAAAGAAAAAAACATCGCGACTAGCGCCAGTGACATCGCGATTCGTATGACTTTCATGGGAAAGTGGGGAAAAGCCAAGTGCAGCTCAAAGACCGCTCAAAGGCGGGAACTGTAGCAGGGGAAATCGACATCCTGACCTGGAGAGCGTGACTGTCATGGCCAGGCCAGCCAGCTCAGTCGCCACATTTGAACTGCAACGACCTGGCATTCTTTGCAAGCCTGCAAACTGATAGCGAGATGGTGGCAAAGAAGACCGTGTCCGACCTGGCAGCAGCAGTAAAAGAGTCGTGGTCAGCGTATCCAGCAGAGCGTACGACAGCTGTCTGGAGAGGGATGTGTGCCTGATTCAAAGACATTGTTGAAACCCTCGGTGGTGACACTGGGTCACGCTGCCCACATTCCTCCAAGTGCCAAAGTGACAGCCACGACTGTTCCTTTCCCATCGCTGCCATACGCCAGGCGGAGAAACTAAAACGTCAGTGCAAGAACGCGCTCCGTCGCTGTTTTCTTTTGTACATTTTTTGTAACCTTGCTTCCTTTCTTCGACTTGCTTCATCCGATTCCTTTGCTGACTTTTTTTCTTGCGGCGGACAGTAATCCTGTATCATGCTTCTTCACTATGCGTATTGGAACTTTTACAGAGCGGTAAAAAAAACTCCTGTTCTTAGTGGCGATAGATAAGCGACTATTGCGATGAAACGGACCAAGTACAAGCGTACTAGTGGGATGTATTATACTTATGCTGACCTTCATACAAACTGACACTCAACTAGCTCTTAGGTCAGCTGTAACTCCGTGGCAACGGTATATATGGATCTGGGGTTTATATGGGGTTTATATTGGGCTGGGGTTTATATGCCCAATATACACCACCTGCATGATGGGGAAGTTGACTGGAAGTTTGTTTGAAAGGTCAGCATAACCTACCATATGCACATTTCAGTTTATGCGCACGTTCTGTGTGAGTGCGGGAATGGAATGCTTAGGCTACTTGCATGCGGCATCGACGCTAGTAAGGTGTCCACCAGGCAGGTATGGCGACCACACCCGGGACGTGCACCCATGGAATGTTGCAGCCAATAACTGAAGCATGCAGCTCCAGCGTTGCCCGGTCGGTGTCGGCTGGCGTGAAAAGGCGTGTTGAACACGTCAGTTGTGGATTGAGCGGTCGCCGGCTTACACGGCCGTCCGCTGCCATCCAGCAGCATCTTCAGCCCAGACTGCAAGCTCCACTGACATTTCACGGTACACCTGGAACACCTCTGCGGAGGGCTTGTCGGAAACAAGAAACCTCCACAGAGGGGCTGTGATGAGCTTTCCAATGATGCCCAGAGTACGGCAGCCAGCAACGAAGTTCTCGTCCTCAAGATCTCCAGCCATAGCACTTGGCAACTTTCCCTTTTCAGCAAAATAGCAGTACTCGAGCATGAGCGGACGCAAGAAATACACCCCAGCTGCGTCAAAGAACAGAATGTTAAAATCTGTTGCCGCTGAAGGCTGCCAATGGTAGTGCTGCTAGTCCACAACTTTGCAGAATGCGGCAAAGTCCACCATGCGACCAGACTTTTCGCTGCCATGTCGCTCGAATAACTTGCAGGCGATCGTATTAGCCGAATGGCGCCAGATTCTTGTACTGGGCTCGGATCGCCGTGCGCTGCGTGGCTGGCCTCGGACTCTTTCTCTCTCAGGACGCCATTGCTTTGTTCAGCAAGGGGTTGACGAGCAAGTGAAGCCCACACAAGTGGCTATTCAGCTTGCTCATGAAGGACTTCTCATTCTCAGAGAGGTTTTTTGCAACCCTCGACTGTCTTTGACCAGACATTTTGGCGCCGTATACGTGGAGAAGCTCGTTGAATTTGGTGTTAACGGATGCTCTGGCTGTCATAGTATTTGTTATGGAACTGTTAGGTCCAACAGGAGAACAACGTAGCGAGAGTCGAGAATCGAGAGCCAAGAATCAAGAATCGAGAATTCACGAAATAAATAAACCGAAAGAAAAGAGAGAGAGAGAGAGAGAGAGAGAGAGAGAGAGAGAGAGAGAGAGAGAGAGAGAGAGAGAGAGAAATAGAAATAGAAATAATGAGAAATAGCTGACCTGCATGTCTTGCACGAGACGAGGTAGACATAGGCGAGACGAGGTTGACAGAGACGAGACGAGGTTGGCGTAGGAGAGACGAGGTTGGAGATGAGACGAGGTTGGCGGCGAGACGAGATTGACGTGACGAGACGAATGCCAGGCGGTAGAGCACGAGAATCCCAGGGCCGCGGGCTTCGGCGAAAGCCGGGCGCCAATGTTGGACCTTCTAGACTAATTTCTCGCCTGCAGCAGTAATGCATGCCAGTGGTAGTACCAGCGTGTTGTATCTCACTGGTTCACTGCGTCCTTGAGCAACTGTATCATAACACGAGTTATGCTCTGCTGACCCTGAGGCTACATCGCTCACTGACAGTGTGTAAGTATCGTCCTGTGTTGTTACTTGAAATGAGTGATACTTCTGGCCAGCCGCTGTGGTTCCGTCATAATGTAGCGTAGTGCTCGCAGATTCTGATGTAGCCGCTTCAGCTAGTTGAGCCTGACTCACGCTTCTACTCTCCATAACCAGTTGTTGAAGCAGCCCATGGCTAGATATTTTGCTTTGCTTTCGGTCAGCAAGCTTGAGGACTTCCTGGATTACTGGTCCGACATTCTTACTGCCCACATTTAGTGCCAGCTAGGACATGCAGCACTGGCACATGCTGTCTGTGTAGTGACCATCTCTGTACGTTTCTATCTCTTCATTGGCCTGGGCTGTGAGCTCTTCGAGCTGCTCCTCGAGCTCAGCAATAGCATTGTCAACACGCAGCAACTCTTGTTGTAGCTCTCGCCCCTTCGTTGGTTCGTGCTCGCATGGCATTGCTTCGCTTTTCTCGGCTTCTTTCTGCTCAGCTGATTGCTGTTTGTAATAGCGCAGCATTCGCGAAGCCCGCTGGTGTTGCTGTGTCAAGCGCTCATTTCGCTGTGATTTCCTCCACTTGTTCGTCTGCCTTCCTTACTTGCTCTTGAGGCTCTCCCACAGTTGCTGCTAATCCTCCTGCCTTGTCTATCGCCTCCTTCAGCTCATCGGATGATGCGTCGAGCGACCCTTCTCTTTTTTTTTCAAATGGTCAAAACTCCTCTTGTACGGGCAAAATAAACACAATTACGAGTGCAACCTCGGCCTCAACAGCACCGGAAGAAAAACGAGCAAAATGGCTGTGAAAACAGTCGAGAGAGCAAAAATGGCTGTAAAAACAGTCGAGAGAGCAAAATGGCTGTGAAAACAGTCGAGAGAGCAAAATGGCTGTGAAAACAGTCTAGTATGGAGCCTTGGGAGGGAGCTTTAACCGATGCTGCTCATGGCAACAGCAAATCGGGCCGAGTCGTTTCTCTTCTGTGTAATTTCTTCTTAACATTTCCGAGCTTGTCGTGGGCTGTGGTGATTTGTTTCTCCATTGCCACGACCTTTTGCGACTGCCGTTGGGTTTCTTCACTTTCACAATTGTCACTACTGTCACTTCCAGGTTGATGACGTGATGTTGACCGATGTGGTGTCGTGTAGCTTGTCGTGCTGGGTGTTGCATGCTCCAACTTTGGTAGTGTGTATGACGTTTCCAGGAATGCCGTTAACATTTGCTGACCAGTGCTCATGTGCCTGCTCTTCAGCAACGCCTTGTACCTTTCTTGCAGTCGGGCAAGGGAGGACATAATTGCTTTTTCACCTTGGAGGGAGACATCATGGGGCGTACCACTCAGCTTGAGAATCCAGGAACATAGGGACGTGTCGGTACAGTTATTTTCATCTTTCACCTTGCTCAGTTCCAAGATCAGTCCGTTCGATATCGCGTTGATTTGGTTTACCTCGAGCTGCTTGGCCAGAAATGATCCAACGTGCAAATCATAATATCGTTCCATGAAAGGCCTCTCATCAGAAGTGCCACTACTTGAACTCGCACATTGACCACTCATATTTACCCTGCCCACATAGGTCACATAGGTTTTTTCAGCCTAGTGCAGGATCATGGCGGCCGTGTGCTGCGGATGACCCTAGTTTAGGGGTGAAACGAGTATATCGAATACTTGAGCGCTCGCTCGAAAATTTGAAAGAGCGAGAACTCGTTTCGCGAAAAATTCTCGAAATGTACTAGGCACTACTGTATGCATGTACATCAAGTACTGTAATTTCACAAATTTTCGGTGTACTTCTATTTTCGGTGCTTTCGGTGCATCTGTTTCATACCTAAAATTTCAATACACCGAACAAACACTTACACACATAATCCAATAGGGAACTGCTTCTCTGTACCGAAAATTTCTGTTCACCTAACCAAGCCTTTTGCTTTCATACCGAAAATATTGAGCACCGAAAATTTCTGAAATTAGAGTACTTCTGTTGCTCTGACCAGTACTCACAGCCCAGGCAAGTGCGCCTACTGCGGCCTAGCACCTCTAGATCTGAATCTTGTAAAAGTCCAGTGCTGTTTGATAGTAACACGTTGTGAGAAGTGCTTGGCAAGACTTCATGTATCGGGAGTACTACGTTCGGTGTGGCGAGAATGTGTGCAGTGCATTGTTTATGTTGTCAGTAAAATACTCGTACTCGCTCGAGTACTCGAGTCCTCAATTTTGGCACTCGTTTCACCCCTACCCTAGTTGCTATGGAATCATGCGACACGATGCTAGGGCGATTATGTAAGCACTCCGGCACCTCTACTGCTTGTCTCTGCACTGACTAAAGCGGTTTGGTGGCTGGTGCTCACAGAAAGTCACGCTCGGTGTCTCTATACTCTATGGCCAGCTGCCTCAGGCTGTAGAGCACTTGCTGATGATCGGTGACTCGCTGGTGGCTAGTGTCGTCAGGTAATATACCTTATTCAATAAACGTCACAATCACGTGAACCGGGGTCCTGGGAACCAGGGAGTGGCAAGAGGCCTGCACTCAGTGCACAGTGGACTCTGCGTGCGAACAGGGGAGTAGAAAAATACCGGTGTTTTACTACTCCCTTGTACGAACTTGCCACTTGTTTCTTGTACGCGTGCCCTAGCTTACGACAAATCTCTGGAGGCGAGTCCAAAAATCATGTTATCGAAAAAGGTCTTTAATGTCCACAGAGGAGCAACATTGAGGTTGGACATTAACCAGACTAAGATGCCGACCATCCCTGACGGACAGCTGTGGTCGGAGCCAGTGATAGCTTAGATCTTGGTGGTGTTTGCAAAACCCTTACCTGTGTGTGTGTGTGTGTGTGGGTTGTGTGTGTGTGTGCGTGCGTGCGTGTGTGCGTGCGTGCGTGTGTGTGTGTGCATGTTTGTGTGTGTGCATGTATATGTACATGTATATATTGTGTATCCATGTACAGGTCGTCCGAATGCTACCGTAGTTCTGCGCTATGTTGAGTTCTGCATGAGCTCCAGCGGGGAGGTGAGTCTATACTGGAACTCGTTATATGCATATGATGGACACCAATCTCTAGTGTCGTTACTCTAACTTGTAGAATCGTAATCAAGAGGACAAGCTGAATAGACATACTATACGTTATTCAAACAGTGTCCACCGATGGAAACAGAGATCATGTGCAGTGATGAGAAATGTAAAAAGATGAAATCTGCCAAGTAGAGCAGATAGCCTGCGACTTTTGGAACTGCATTGCCCTGGCTTTCCGTGCTATGAAAAGAACCCGCTGTCTGTAGTGAGAACGGAAGCTGGTAGATCTCTGGAGCAGATTCCGATAAGAATTTGGGCCCTCGATCATCAAGATCGGCGAAAGAATGGCTGAAAAGGAAAGAATTCATTTTTAAAACACACTTTATGGCCCGACAACAGAGCAGCGGATAGCCAATACTTGTCTACGAGTACTGTGGGTTGGCGAAGAACTGGGGGGTCAGCCTCCTAGCCTAGACCGTTCTTATCTTCATGTACTGCAGTCCATGCACAGTTGAGTCACCGTGTATACATTGGTATGCTGTACAGTCTATGCACAGTTGAGTCACCGTGTATACATTGGTATGCTGTACAGTCTATGCACTGTTGAGTCACCGTGTATACATTGGTATGCTGTACAGTCTATGCACTGTTGAGTCACCGTGTATACATTGGTGTGCTGTGCTTGGTGAGGTTCTAGCCTGGTTGTTCTTCAGCGCCCGACGGTACTGTCCGTTGGTACTTCAGCCTTGAGTCGGCTGCGACGATCCAGCAGGAAAATGACTGGCTGCTGTTTGCGTGTGCTTGTGTTTATGCGCGTGCTTGTGTTTGTGTGTGGCTGGCTGGCGTTCTGAATGCTTCCTGCAGGCGTATGATGTGCGCCATTACGGCCTGAGCAAGGAGCTGTACGAGATCTTTCCCAGCATGGAGTACCTTGTGTCAGCTGGTTGGGTGCCGGGAAGAAATGCGTGAGTTTTGTTGTTGTTAATGTTGTTGTTGTTGTTGTTGTTGTTGTTGTTGTTGTTGTTGTTGTTGTTGTTGTTGTTGTTGTTGTTGTTGTTGTTGTTGTTGTTGTTGTTGTTGTTGTTGTTGTTGTTGTTGTTGTTGTTGTTGTTGTTGTTGTTGTTGTTGTTGTTGTTGTTGTTGTTGTTGTTGTTGTTGTTGTTGTTGTTGTTGTTTCAAATCTTTATTCTCACGATAGCCAGTGGCCAATAAGAGATAGTTGTTGTTGTTGTTGTTGTTGTTGTTGTTGTTGTTGTTGTTGTTGTTGTTGTTGTTGTTGTTGTTTTTGTTTTTGTCGTCGTCGTTGTTGTCCACACATGCAACTCAGACTCTATTGTAAATCAGTTTTTGGCACTGATTTTGGCAGTCTCTTCCATTGCACGTGCAGTCTCTCTCTCTCTCTCTCTCTCTCTCTCTCTCTCTCTCTCTCTCTCTCTCTCTCTCTCTCTCTCTCTCTCTCTCTCTCTCTCTCTCTCTCTCTCTCTCTCTCTCTCTCTCTCTCTCTCTCTCTCTCTCTCTCTCTCTCTCTCTCTCTCTCTCTCTCTCTCTCTCTCTCTCTCTCTCTCTCTCTCTCTCTCTCTCTCTCTCTCTCTCTCTCTCTCTCTCTCTCTCTCTCTCTCTCTCTCTCTCTCTCTCTCTCTCTCTCTCTCTCGCTCTCTCGCTCGCTCGCTCGCTCGCTCGCTCGCTCGCTCGCTCTCTCTCTCTCTCTCTCTCTCTCTCTCTCTCTCTCTCTCTCTCTCTCTCTCTCTCTCTCTCTCTCTCTTTCTCTCTTTCTCACTTAGCAATTTCCAGTGTGTCTGTCCCATCACCTTGTATACTGAAAGCTCTCTCTATGTTGCTTGTTTTGTCTTGGCATGTAGGGTGTATGCGTATCTTCTGGATCGTCTACAGCAGAACTGCAAGCTAGTGTACTTGCCTTTACACTCAAGTCACAATGTCGGCTTCAAACGTAAGCACCGTACAGTCTTGTATGAAATCTGCGGCTTTTAATTATGACTTTTGGAAAATTTCACAGGTTTTTACTTTTTATATGAGACAGGCTTCTATACAAGACAGGCTTAGGTGTGAATTGTGCACCCGGTGCACCCAACTGACTCCAATTCACTTTGCTATGTATGCCATGAGTTCATAATTATGCACGTGCGGCTTATACATGCGACAATTTGACTTTAGAGAGGGCCTATAGTGTAGCCTGTAGGACCTAGGAGTGAGCAAAGTGTCGTGTTTTGAAGTCATGGCTACTATATAAGGGCGCCGTATGTGCTATTATATATTTTGATGTTTCCAAAAGTGCGGCGTCTATTCAAGTGCGGCTTTTATGCACGACTTCACGGTTTACGTGTGCGTGTGTGGGTTTTTTTCATGTGCATGTGTGTGAACACACATGTTTGCGTACGTGTGTGTACGTACACTTCTGTGCCTACATCATCTTTCTGCGCAGTCTTGGACAATGGCTGGCCAATAGGGCACCGACCAGCGACGTCATCCTCACCAGCGACGTCATCCTCACCAGCGACGTCATCCTCACCAGCGACGTCATCATCAGCCACTGCCACTAGCACAGCACACCAGCAAAGCAGCAGCAATGATGACGATCGCCACGGCTGCGCAGTGGGGTCCACGGTCGCTCCCATCGTGGTACTCCTGGAGGAGACTACTGAACACTGCGCCGCCATGTCCAGCAACAACACAACCACCGACCATCGCCATCCCTGGATTAATGTAAGGACTGGCCTTCGGGCCGCTACATGTACTGAGTTCATCCGTTTCTAGAAGAATTCATCCATTTCTAGAGGAGTTCATTGGAATTATTCACCCTCTTCTTCTTGTACTTGTAAGTAGCTCTGCACTTTGGTCATTGAGCCCTCTTTTGGACAGCCTGGAAGCTTTCTGTTTTTCTAAAGGAGTTCATTCGGGTCTGGTTGAGTTGGCTCAGTACTGAATGAGCTAGTTGAGTTCCAGAATGAGGTCAACCTCTTGTCATAATATTATGTCCTATCTCGGTCCACCCGAGTCGATTTCATTGGGCATTATTCCAGCTAGCGGCGGTGGAGCAATTTCACGTTAATGTTTGTAAGTGTATGTATGATTGGTTAATGTTTGTAAGTGTATGTATGATTGGCATGTTTATGTGCGAGCAAGAAGCCTCTTTTGCAAGTTCATGGACGTGAATCTGGGCCCTGCTGAGGAGACCTAACAAGGTCGAAACAGCTAGCTGCCCGGAGATTGAGTGCCAGAAAACTGCGCATAATACCTATGCGTCTTTGTGTTTGTAGAAGAAAGTAGTTGGGCGGACACACCCATTCCCAAAGCATTGCAAAGAACCGAACCAATTCTTAATGTACACTGTTTCGGCAATATTGCTATCGTCAGGTACGAATGAAACAATGGGTGTGTCCGCCGAACTCCTTCTACAGATGAAGCTGCAAGATGCCTCAAAGTTAATTCTCACTTGGCCCTTGTGTTTGTATCCATGTTTTCATTATCTTCCCTCAGTACCATCAGCTACTGCACTTTGTGAAAGCTCCGGTGGCGCCATCAACAGCAGGAGCGACGGTGGGCAGCAGAGGCGATGGCGACAACTCGGCAACAAACGACTCACTCAGCTTCATCTGGTCCAACGAGCTGGACTCTGGCCACCGGAACCTGCAGTTGATCACCTGTGACCTGTCCTGCGGCAGCCGCCATGCTCCGCTCAGCACCGAACACACAGCACGAGCAGCACACAATGGCGCCGATGCGAGTGCGAGCGTGTCCCTCGCTAGTTTTGACACGGAGGTGGACGAGGGCAGTGGTGGTGGTGGTGGCGGTGGAGACTCTACATCAGCTCGCAGTGCAGTGGACAACAGTGCGGTGATATCCCCCACCAGTTCTGCGCCCAGCTGTACCAACACGACGTCAACGGCATCCCTGTTGCCACGGGAACCCGGCTTGGATTTCACCTGTGCTGAGTGCAGTGGCAGCTCCACCGCGCCGCATGTATTCCGCAATCACAGACCATGCCAGGACGGCGATGCGTCAGCTCTTTGCCATCGTCGCCGCTGGCAACGTGACCAGCTGGAATGCTACAGGCACACTAACGCTGGGCGTAAGGATGGTGATGCTAGAGGCACGGACACTGCTGCTCCAGAAGGCAATGGTGGTGGTGGTGGTGATGTTACGGTCGCGGCCAGCACAGCTCAGCGGACCAGCAGCAGCAGCAGAGTGCCTGGCTGGCTGAGCTGCTGTGCTGGCGGAGGTAATCAAACTGAGTCTCCACCGCCACAGCCACCACCGCCACTACAAGAGTCGAGTAGCAATCGTTGTACTGCCTCACGTACTAACTCGCAACATGCGTGCAATACAGCGACATCGGCTCATCGCCAGCCAGCAGCTACGGATACTAGTAATGATGTGACGATGCAGTCTCACGTTGATCATGGTAGATTACCCGCGTTCACCTACATGGCTGAGTCGGGTGATGTATCACATGCTACTGTCGGAGATACCGCTACTCAACAGCAACAGAGTACGAACAATGGATCATGTGCACTGCAGGACAGCTTGCACTCTGCTCCCACAGCGTCTTCGGCTGCGTCCACTCCTGACCGGATGGATACGCAGTGTGCACCACCGCCATCGTCAGATACCATCAATCGCCACACCACACCGGGGGTACATGTGGACTGTGTTGGCATGGCAACACACGCGCAAGCCGACGCTAACGCCAACAGTGCACGGCCAGTGTGCGGCGGTCTAGTGCTACCGGAGACGACGGCATCCAACGGCTCCACACCGTGCTCCTCGCCGAAACGAGTCTGCCGCGATATCACCATGCCAACCACTGCCGACGACAGCAGTATAGATGTGTGTGGGCGTGCGCTACCATCGTGCACACTCTCCAATGCTAGCGGTGTCTGGCCTGGCAGGAATTGTGGAGATTTCGTTGTTGCCAGCGGTACTAAGCACCTCGTCACACCACCGCACGTCAACTGGCAAGTTGATTCGGACTTGGTGAGTTCACACACACACTCCCTCTCTCTGTGTCTTATTAGAGTTGTTTTGTTTGTAACTTGCACACGAATCTGCATTCGTCTCATATGCTGAGTTCGTGGATTCGTTCGGAGGCTTATTTTTTTAGCGCATGCAGCCATGTGCCTTCTAGTTGACGAAACGACCACTTGTTTTGTCAGCGAGTAGTAATGTCATGCCAAAATTCCCTAGTGTATGTTTGTGGGGTTTTGGGGGGGGGGGGGGTTATATGGTGCATGTATACATTGCACATGTGTACTCATGGGCATGCTGAGCGATGGGCATATACCGTATTACGTATGTGTGTCCTTCACATGTCCAAGCACACACGTAGCACACACGCACACCCTCACTCACACCGGCACATGTGCGATTCATTGAGGACTGCTACGTCTCTGATCATGTCACTCTCCCGTTTTCCTTGCACTTGTGGGTGCATGCATTGCACGCGTATGTGTGTGTGTGTGTGTGTGTGTGTATGTGTGTGTGTGTGTGTGCGTGTGCGTGTGTGTGCGTGTGTGTGTGTGTGTGTGTGTGTGTGTGTGTGTGCGTGTGCGTGTGCGTGTGCGTGTGCGTGCGTGCGTGCGTGCGTGTGTGTACAGCTACACGTGGATGAGCAGCATTCATGTGTGTTCTTCACTGGAACAGTGGACACACCTCTAGAGTGTCATTTGTAAGTCTCTGCCCTATGCCCGCTTAGATGCAGTGCGTTCTGCAGCTTGCATCATCTCATGGCCGCTTCGATACAATGCGTCCTGCAGCTTGCATCATCTCATGCCCGCTTCAATACAATGCGTTCTACACCTTGCATCACCTCATGGCCGCTTCGGTACAATGCGTCCTGCAGCTTGCATCAGCTCATGTATGCTGCTGCTTCAAGCTCCCGCACTCCTAACGGGAAAACCCAGTGGTGTTGAATTTGCAGAATGCAATTTGAACTGTCACCCGTGTTCAGTTTGGGCATAGTCTTGGGCTTCCAGCCATTGTGTATTGTTATTAGTACAGAGGTTTGGCATCACCAATTTTGCTTTCTAGTTTGCGCACACTTTTCAGTTTGTGAACTGGAATGCGAACTTTCGCATAGCAAAAGCCACCATGCATGTATGGTTGCGGGTTTTCGCATACTGTCAGGGGTCGCTGCGAACGTTTTTTTTTGTCGTTCATTTCGTCCTCGTGTGTGTACTTTTGTGTGTGGGTGCGTGCGTGCGTGCGTGTGTGTGTGTGTGTGTGTGTGTGTGTGTGTGTGTGTGTGTGTGTGTGTGTGTGTGTGAGAGTGTGTGTGTGTGTGTGTGTGTTTGTACAGGTATGTAATGTGCTACAAGCACAGTCTGGAGAACAAGTTTGTTGTAAAGCGGCTAACACCGATTGGCTACCACCATCAACCTGTCATTAGTCCGGTGAGCACATACTGGCATGCGTATGCATACTAGCCAACCATACCGGTTTTCCCGGTATTATCGGGAAACTACGATCACTACCGGCATACCGGGGCTTTTTGACTTTGATCGAAAAACTACCGGTTTTCGCACTGAACCATGAGTGTTCATAAAAAAAGGTTGTTTTGTGGTGTGACAAGGGCACATGCGGCCCTGCATTTCACAGAATCACACATGTAGGGGCGATCTGACAATAAAGAAAGTCATGTTTTAGTACCCCAATGAGCAATGGGTTAGAAATGAATAAAAAGAAATAAAAAAATTGCGGACATTACGCAAAAATGCCTCAAAAAAGAGAAAATGGCCGAAATTGGCGAAAACCGGGAAAATAAGGGAAATGAGAGAACATTAAGGGAAACTGGGTGTGTGACTAAGGGATTTGCTTTGACTGGGTTGGCAAGTATGCCTATGTATCGTTTGGTGTGAACGCTGCAACGGTGTATATGCCTCTCTCGGTCTGTGTGTGTGTGTGTCTCTCTCTCTGTCTCTCTCTCTGTCTCTCTCTCTCTCTCACTCTCACTCTCCGAGGCAAATATCACATTTCACTTTGTATTCCGGTGACTGCAAGTACATGTCCGGGGTGTCAGCTGCCCCCCCCCCCTCCATGCCTTTCTTCCCTCATCTTTATTGCAATCCCACCCCGTTAATGGCCTGTATTGTTAACATTTCCAACCTGTACCTGCTCATGTGCCTCTCTCTTTACCGTTGTCCTCTGTCAGTGCGGCCGCTTCTTCACGTCCGTGTTCTCATCACTCGCGGCATCCCCGACCACAGTTATCTTTGACATTCTCTACGACCATCCAGGAGGCTGCTTGCCCAGGACTGTAGCACGGTGTGTCTTGAGCCACCCCAGTGATATCAGATCGGGATCAGTGCAGAACAATAGCCAAGTAACGCATGGGGAGATCTTCTCCTTCAAGAGTCGTTCAGGTCAGTTTGATGTGCCAGACGTGTTGTGGTTTTCCACACACACGCACGCACACGCGCACACACACACACGCACACGCACACGCGCACACGCACACACGCACACAGACACACGCACACACACACACACACACACACACACGGCCAAGCAAGCACTCATGTTTCTACATTTTACAGACGCGAATGGACGCATACAAACACTCGCTCTCTGTCTGTTTGTATGTCTCTATCTCCTCTCTTCTCTTCTTGCCTCTCTCACTCACTCACTCACACACACGCGCACACACACACACACACACACACACACACACACTCTCTCTCTCTCTCTCTCTCTCTCTCTTTCTCTATGCTTTCCTAACTCCAGGTACTAGTATATCAAATAGTGAACCCGGCACTGCCATGCAAGAAGACCATAATGGAGTTACCGATGAAGGTGAGTCATTGTTGTCATTCTTTACAGCTGTGAATGAATTCATCTGTATGATTGTCTATGGTGTTAGATAAACATTGTTTAGTTGAAACATGTTGTAGGTTGACAGCATGTAACAAAGTGGAGACCAACCGCAGATGGTTGTAGTAAGGTCACTGTTTCCAAACACGGTGGTCTCTCCACCTTATTACATGCTGTCAACCAATACCATGCTTGTCTATCTATCTGTCTGTTTTTCCTATGCTGTCTGACGATTGCCCAGTGCGTGAAACTACAGTATTGCTCAATGAAACCCAGTCGCGTCGCTCAAGTTTCCGCCTTGCACCATTTCTCAGCCCGGTGTCCGCACGTCTAGGGCTGCGCAACGCTCGGCGTGTACTTGAGTGACGCGGGTAGATTTCATTCAGCAGTGCTGTACAAGTTGCATGCGCAGCCAAACCGCGTACCGCCTCTTGTGTTCATGTACAGTCAACTTCGTGTATAACGACACTCAGCGGGGCATCAGAAAAGTGTCCTTATTCGCGAAGTGTCGTTTTACCCGAAGTCGCATTATATGTATTACAGTTAGATGGGACTTTGCTCTGAGCATGGAAATTCTGTCGTTATTCACGAATTGTCGTTATATCCGCAGTCGTTATTAGCGAAGTTGACTGTATTCTGTATGTACAGCTAAACCTGTAACTACAGACCACCGTGACCAGCGACCAGCCTGGTACTACAGACCACTTCGCCAGGCATATCTCACATTCATATAATATATGAATGTGAGATATGCCTGGCGAAGTGGAGGTTTGCACCTCACAACCATATTATGGTTGTGAGGTGCAAACCTCTAACTAAGGACCACCTGCCACTAAAGACTGCTTTCTCTGGCCCCAAGCCAAGGGTGGTCGTCGTTAGTTACCGGTTTTACTCTACATGAGAGAGAGAGAGAGAGTGTGTGTGTTGAAAAGAGGGAATAGTCTGAAGAAAATGTGGCTGTCATCACCAGGATTTAAACTGGAGACCTTTGCCAGCTTTGCCAGTGTGTGAAAGTTACTTTTCGTGTACTCTGTGCCGTAGGCTACACACTGTATGGTGCTGTTCACCCACCGCACGACCGTTCTGATGTCACCACCACTGCCACTGCCGCTGCTGCTGCTGCCACCAAGCACCCGACCATTGTATATGTGTATGGTGGACCAGTCGTACAGGTGAGCATGTTTCATTTCACTTCTTTTTACACTCAGACCTCAATATTCGGGCGGTCCGGAAGACCGGAGTCGAGCACTGCCCGTGACTGTGAACTGCCCGTAACTCCGAATCACATCCATTTTGATGGGGAAGTGCCAGAGATAAGGCGTATGGCGTCACGATTTCAACGAAAACATGACAAAGGAGTAGTTATTATATCCACTGGTACTCGCCCAAAGGGTGCCTGGTAGACCGAAGTGTCCATAACTGCGGGGTCTGTAAAGCCGGGGTCTAAGTTTTGTTGGTTGACAGCATGAAACAAGGTGGAGGACACCGTGTTCGGAAACAGTGACCTTTCTACTCGAAGTACAACCATCCACGGTTGGTAGAGCCCCGGTCTGTTGAGACCATCTGAACCGTATGGTTTAAGAAAAACATTTCAGGTTAAAATAGCTACAGGTGGAATCCTGATAATTCGAATATGGCTTAATTCGAACATACCGCTTAATTAGAAGTTTTTCCAGGACCGATTTCTATCAATACGAGTCCCACATAAAAAATTCTGATAATTCGAACCTCGAACTGGATATGTCCGGTTAATTTGAAGTCCCACAGATTCCACTTACATAGAAAATGTGTGGGATTTGTGCTGATAATTCGAAGTAAGCAAAGTGTAATTCGAAGTTCACTGTACATTGTACTGGTCAGTTCAGTTTGCATGAGCAGGCTGTGCCGGTCAGTTCAGTATCCGCGGAATCTGTGCCTAAGGTCCATAGCGCAACTCTGGGTGACCATGAGAGCATTTTGACATACGTATTGTGTTGAGGGCTCATGTTTGGATAATTAGAATGTCCGGTTAATTAGAAGTTTTTTCGTGGCATTTTGAGGTTCGAATTATCAGGATTCCACCTGTACTATTTTTATGACTATCAAGAAGACAACTAGGAGCGATCACAGAATACACGACTGACGTTGGGAGAAGTCTATAAAAAAACTCCCCTAGAATAAAGAGGGTCAGAACCGGGTCTAAACATACGGTTCAGATGGTCTGAACAGACCGGGGCTCTATCAACCGACCCGACGGTGGATGGTTGTAGAAAGGTCACTGTTTCCGAACACGGCGTCCTCCACCTTGTTACATGCTGTCAAGCAACAACATGACTATAGCTGTACATGATTGTACAGCTATAGTCATCATACATGTGTTAGGTCCAACAGGTCCAACAGGAGAACAACGTAGCGAGCTTCGAGGTTGTTATCGAGAACCAATGAGTCGAGCATCAATGAATCGGGGCGAGTGAGCGAGAGACAACGCAATATAAAGGGCCTGGGTAGCTATGGCAAACATGGACGCGCAAGTAGCTACCCAGGCCAAATGAATATGCATGAACTAATGAATTAATATATTGTGGGCCTAACATACCACCCCTCCATAAAAAATCCCGCGTCCTCATATCGGAGAAAAGAAAAGAGAACGACATCTTTTAAAAAAAGTTTTTTTAAAGCTTTCACTGCCAGCTGACTGCTCAAGTGACAAGGCACTCAGTACAGCCAGGCTGTCAGCTGAGCTGTGCACTCCCCAGTGCCACAGGCGCTTTTTACCTCCAGTTCAAAAAATCGAAAGGCCAACTTTTCCTGGATTTTTTGGTACTTTCTGTACGGAATATCGCTTTCTAAAGTATACATCAGGGAGTCGTAAAAGCCCGGGAGAGGACACGGCACACATTCCCAGAAAACATCTTTGCCTCGCGCTGCCGGGGAACGCTGCCAGGGAACGGTGTTGCGAGGCAAGGAAATTAATATTTTCGAAAATTGTGATGTCTTCTTGAAATACTAATTGGGACATTCTCCGATTTCTCTTAGAGCACGGAGACGATTGCTCCGTCGAGTCTTCTGATCTCTATTTTCATCCTCATCTTCCAGCTGCCTCACTCATTCTCTCTCAGTTTATCGAAGTTAATTTATTCTGAGGCGATGGAAATGCAAGACAAATCCCTAATTGTACTTCACTTTTATTTGAGTTGGGGTGAACGAAATGAGATTTGTGGAAAATGACGCCACTTCCCGTGTTAGCCGCTGGTCGTATCATACAGCCCATATTCCATTGCAAGTGATGGGCCAACGTTCGTGTTGAGATCCGCTGAGTTTCCTCGTACTCGTGGAGTTGAATTTGTGGCAGAAATTGCACTGAATTGCAGTCAAATGGTTGTGAATGAAACGAGATTTGTGGAAAATGACGCCACTTCCCGTGTTAGCCGCTGGTCGTATCATACAGCCCATATTCCATTGCAGGTGATGGGCCAACGTTCGTGTTGAGATCCGCTGAGTTTCCTCGTACTCGTGGAGTTGAATTTGTGGCAGAAATTGCACTGAATTGCAGTCAAATGGTTGTGAATGAAACGAAATTTGTGGAAAATGACGCCACTTCCCGTGTTAGCCGCTGGTCGTATCATACAGCCCATATTCCATTGCAGGTGATGGGCCAACGTTCGTGTTGAGATCCGCTGAGTTTCCTCGTACTCGTGGAGTTGAATTTGTGGCAGAAATTGCACTGAATTGCAGTCAAATGGTTGTGAATGAAACGAGATTTGTGGAAAATGACGCCACTTCCCGTGTTAGCCGCTGGTCGTATCATACAGCCCATATTCCATTGCAGGTGATGGGCCAACGTTCGTGTTGAGATCCGCTGAGTTTCCTCGTACTCGTGGAGTTGAATTTGTGGCAGAAATTGCACTGAATTGCAGTCAAATGGTTGTGAATGAAACGAGATTTGTGGAAAATGACGCCACTTCCCGTGTTAACCACTGGTCGTATCATACAGCCCATATTCCATTGCAGGTGATGGGCGAAAGTTCTTGTGGAGATCCGCTGAGCTTCCTCGGCGTACTCGTGGATTTATGAATTTGTGTCAGAAATTGCAGTCGAGTGGACTTCTGTGCGTGTGTTGTGAGTAAATCGCGACGGCTCCCTTCCTTCAGCATCGTCAAAACGCAACATAGAGCATTATTACGCACTCGTTCCATGATTCATGATAATGCCTGGATTCTTTTAAAAACAATCAATGTGTGTTCCCTATCTATCTACATTGTACATGGTTGCAGGTCGTTATTTATAAATCTTGATAATTTCAACACTTTTCTACTCGTATACTGAGTACGCGGTGACTTGAGCCGTTTAGGAAACGGAAGTCTTGGCGAGTGTACAAAAGGTAAACCTATCATTTGTACTTCATAACGGAATTGTGCACAAAAATGCACACACACGTTCGCGCGCACACACACAAGCACACACACAAACACTGTACAAACACACACAAAAGTACAAGCACATGTGCACATACACACGCCTCCCCCCCCCCCCCCCACACACACACACACACTCAACTCCCCACCCCTGTACTGAGTCTGACAGACATACAATCATGTTTATCCTTCCTTCGCCACCAGTTTCGGATAATGGTGTCACCAACGAGTTGTAAAATATTGGTATTTTAGGACTCCCTGCCCTGAAGACAAGCACAGCGCCGTGGATCGAGCAGATCCGGCCGCGCCGGCCTAGCGTGCTTCACTTTCTGGCCGAGGCAAACATCGTCCGCGTGCGCGCATCCCGTGTCCTCTCCCGGGCTTTTACGACTCCCTGGTATACATCGTAGGTAGCCAACTGATAAAGGAAGCCATTGCCCTCGAAAAAAATCGCAAAATCCGAAGTACAAGCGCGCTGAGCGTTCTAGCGCCAGCCGCTGTGCAACAAGACATGTCATGTCATGCGAAAGTGCGCCGCGTGCCGCATGCACTACATACAGAGTCAGTCAGTGCAGGCGATGCGCCGTTTTGCGAAAAGTCGACGTTTAGAGGTAGTTTTATTATCCCAAATGCCAAAGCGCGGGAAAATTCAAATGCAAACAGCTGCATTTTGGAGACGTATTTTTTATCGACAGTCAGGCAGTCAATGCCAATTTTCTCAAGAAGAAGAGTATTCAGAGGCATTGTTGTACATTTTCCGTTGATACTATACGTGTGCCCTAGTGTTTGCATGAGCGAGGGTGGTGGTTTTGCTAAACCGTTCGCATGGCGGGCGGGTTTGTAAGAAGAAAGGCTTCAGCCATTGACGAGCGACGAGAAACCTGTCATTTCGTGCCATTTGAGTTAGCAGTAGCACCGGACAATACTGACACATGTCTGCGGCAGCAAACATAGTGTACTAACGGATCAAAAACAGCCACAATGTGTGTCACTGCGGAAACGGGCTGTAGAGGTGCATTTGCAAAGCTGCTGATTTTCGTCGTCTTTCCATGCACAGGGTACGTATCATGCCCTTGGCATAGGCCAAAGCACGAAAGCTTTAGTTGGACACCACCCACAATCTCCACGTGGGTCCCAGTGTACCCGCTGCTGCCGATGAGAACCGCCCTACTAGTATAAGCGGTTTACCCACCCATGACCCATGTGTCCTCAATACGACTGAGAATACATCAGAAGTACGCCATAAGCATTGGAAACCTGTACAGTTGAATCCAATTTAGACCAGAATGACTGTATTGGTTGGAAATGCATTGCACCATTCCACTGAAACGTTAACACACAAGAACAGGAAAAGGATGTAACAGAAAACGAAAGAATGTAACACAAAAGATAATCCCAAACCGTCCAGCGGAAAAAAGAACGTGGGAAGAAAAGCACTGTGGCTGGTGTAGGAAGCAAATACTGCAAATACTAGGCTAAACGGGAAGTACCAAATAATTAATTATATGGTTGTCGAGCATCTCCTCAGAGTCAACAAAGGGATAACGGAATGAGAGAGACCGACTAATTTTCGTCAAAACTGTCACAAGCCAGCAGCTGGTGATTGTTGAGGAAGGTAGTTACACCACTGACCGACACCACTCAGTGCTGTGGGTAATGATTACGTGCATCGATCATTGACATTGTGCAGCACCTGGCAGCAATAAACCAGACAAAGCAGTACAATACCATGCAGAAGATGAAATGCTTGACGGAGTATAATAAGTAGCAGACAAACT